AGGTCTTGCCATACTGGGGTATACTTGCTGTGTGGATTGGTTGGTTGTTGATCAGGCCTGACACAGAACTTTTTAATGCAATCTTCAGCAGCACTCTCAGAGGGAAAGGGAAATAGGGACATGCTGTTATTGTTGACAACCAAACCATCAAACACTATCCAGTAGCCCACTAGTCAATCAGTGGTTGATATTACCCAGAGGAGCATCACTTAGAACTTGGAAGCTGTGTTTAGCCATCTCAGGGAGTGTTATATGGAGTTCTCTTGCAAGCTATGAGCTAGCACGGTGTATTCACATAATATATTATGCTACTTTGTGTCTGGACGTCTCTCGGTGATACTGTTTGAAGCGTCCAACTGTTGCCTGTGGGAGACAAAATGGCTGCTGTGTGAAGTTCATATCAGTACAGTAACCAAGCATGGCATCCTTCAGCTGGAGGGCAATATCTGTCCCCTGGTTCAAGTGTCTGCAGACCAACTACAGAGGCATCAAAGTAAAGTTAGCCGCTGTTGCAGTGACTGGCATTCTCTTTTAGCATATTACTAATGGCTTTTTTTTGTTGTTTTTTTTTTTTCTCACACCCTCTGTGTAATCCAAAATGCAGGGGTTTAATTGAAGTAGCACTGGAACTCCCTGTGTTAACCAAAGCTGGTGTGAGGAAGCCTTTTAAAGTTAGATTCGCCTGGAGGCTTTGGGTCTTGCGAGAGAACAAGTGGGCGTTCATTTGTTCATCCAGCTTTGTTATGCTGAATTTTTTTTTTTAACTCACCAAAGGATAGGCACGCTGAACTTCCGATCTTCAACACAATTAAGAAGCCTCACCCCTTTTAAACTCGCGACGAGACTAATTATGTATATGTGTTTGTGTGTGTGAGAGAGAGATAGAGGACATAATGTGTGCACATTTTCATTGCACACATTTGTCTGTGTGGGTGTGAGTATGTAGGAGTCTGGGTGAAGCTCTGTAATACTACTGAAGTCAGACTTGTTAATTAGATTGAATGAAGTTGTTTTCTCTCGTGCTGAACATGTTTATAGCATGTGCTCTGCTTTCATGTGAGATATTTATAGGGGGATCTTCTTGATAAATGGTGCTGGATTCACTTTCATCTCAGTCATCATAGTATCGTTATACCACATCATCATAGCTGAGTACTTACCTCAGGAACACTCTTGAGTACCGCACTGTGACCCTGTGGGTTCATGTCTGACTTCTCCCTTCTTGTTTGTATCCTTTTCTTTCTTTTTTCTGGTGTCTTTGTTCTGTCAGGAGCAAAGGCAGGTGTACTACCCGTCATCTTCAAAAACAAGCACAAAACAGCATACAAAAGACATAGAGGCATGGCTACAGAACCCCAGCACATATCTGTCACTAAGCCTCTCTTGTCAGCCCCTCGTTTAATATTACTGGCAATTAATCACCATGGTAATGCCTCCTCATTTGATTTCAGGGGAATCTGATTATATACATTTGAGCTGAGTTAAATTATTAATCACCACCAGCCCATTGTTTATCTATATTTTTGTTATCCCACTGCCCATTCTATGCTAATTGAAATCATTCAAGCCTGATGAGTGACAGGAAGGTTTGTATGCATGATGGAACTCTTAGAAAACTATTATAAAGAGCTTTGTATGCTCTCAAATGAGAAATATGCTCACCTGAGCTGTTTAGCCACATGCAGCAGTGTGGTCCATGGTTGGTCAGTCTACCACTTTGTCCTAGACTGAAATGTTTCAGATGAGGATAAATGGTCACCACAGGACCATGTCTTCTAACTTAAGTGGTTGTTCGACCTTTCCTCCAGCACCACCATGAGGCGTTTTTTTTGTTTTTTTTTGTCTGTGTGTGAAGCGTTTCATCTCATTTGGCTGGTTTGCCATGAACCTAGGTAAGGATGGTACCTGGAGGATGACTTCAAATGACACTGCTGATTTCCAATAACCACAATAGAGCAGGTCAGCATGGTTATTTCCCATTCTATTACTTCATTGAATTACGCCACAGATTGGTAACCTTGGTTTTGTGTGGAAAATCACGAATGGACAAACGTTGACAGAGTGAAACTGAAAAGGTAAAAAAGGAATTTCAGCAACTGTAATGGATGCTGACAGCTGGAGTCAAGACCCTGTACATTCTAAATGTTAGATTAGCATCTTGAACACAGTCAAATCTGTGATTGTTCTTACACTTTTTTTTTTATCAGCAGGGTCAGCCCTGAGGTTCAACCATTTTAGATGACAGTGAAGCAGAGACATCCGTCATTATCTACTCAAGGGCGCTTTCATTGCATCTTTAATGGAGACTAACCCTGTGACCTTGCCACTTGAACCACACAGTCTGCCTGCTTTCTACTCAAATCACAGTTCCTCTGTGTGTGTAATGTTTGGTTTGGTTTAAGACCTAAAATTATAGGCTGCTGGAAGATAATGTCGGAGCACAAAATTAGGCGTAGCAGTGATGCGGCATCGTTATGTAAGGCCGAAGCTGAAGTTCACTTTCCCTGTTTCGTGGGATTTTCACTTTGGCTCCTTGCAGCGCCTCTCTGCAGCTCCCTTGGCCCTCAGCTCTCTTCTCCTCATCTCTTGTTCTCCACTATGCTACCCACTGCTCCTTTCTTTCTTCTTCCTCTCTTTTGGCCTGGAGTTCCTGCTGTTTCTTCTTCCTTCCACTATGGCCAACTTTGAATTCTGCACTCCTTCGCTACATGTGGGCCAGATTTCTTCCATCCACATCCTGCTTATCCTCTGTTGAAACTCCTTATCCCTCTGTGTGCTGTCTCAACTCTGTGTGTGTGTGTGTGTGTATGTTGAGGAATGCAGCTATTGTACATCACTGCTGGCTCACTGCTAGCTGTTCTCATTTCCTCTACTGACCCCATATCCCAGTCTCACGCAGACACTTAGAAACACACACTCACACACCTGTCTTCTTCTTATGCCCTGTGGCAGGGCAGCAGTGTACTGTAGCGTACTGCAGGATATGTGTGTGTGTGAGTGACTGCAGCTGCTTTTGGCCATCCAGGCTGCCTCCTCGTTTTCAGCTTCATTTCCCCCCCTAATGAAGATTCAGAGGCAGCGCAGCTACTGGCACAGGGCAAGAGAGGAGAGGAGGGTGGGATGAGGAAGGAGCAATATATGAGGAAACAATGACAGCGGGAAGAGAAGGGAAGCAGAAATTAGAGTTAGATGAAAGGGAGGGAGGAGATGGAGGGAGAAGAAAGAGAAGAGAAAACGACAAGATGGAGGCAAAACTAAGTATGGGAGAATCCTGAGCAGGTAGCAAAGCAGAAACAGGGATGAAGAAAGGATGAATGGGATAGAGAGAAGAGCTACAACTGAGGAAGAGAGGGAAAAGGGTGATGAGTTTTATGATAAAGATGACTAGAAAGAAAGTAGCCTTCTCTCCCTCTCTCTCTCCTAATTAGCTCCCTGGCTGTGATGAATGGCACAGCACTTAGGACCCAATCGGCGAGCCGACCTTGTCATGGGTGTTGATGGGGTGGGGTGACTCTACACCCCCCTCCCACCTCTGTCCCCCTTTTACCTATTGTACCTCCTCCTGTGGAAGCAGATGCTGCTAATATCTAGGGGTGTGTGTGTGTGTGTACATGTGTGTATATGTGTGTGTGTGTATATGTATGTGTGTGTGTGTGTGTGTATATTGTCCTCCAGCCTCAATGGCTCGCAGTTCAAAATAGCAGTGTGCACGTACACACACCTCCTTCATTTCTGATGTGACTTGTATTTTGCAGCATTAGATGTCACATTAATATCAGTTTGGAGTTGACACTTGTGTAAGGTAATTAGAATCCTCCCATTATTTTGCATCTAAGCTGACCTGAGAGTTGTCTCCTAAGAATTTAAGGCCTTGTCCTTCTCACTTCACTGCTTTTCCCAAGAGAAGAAGTTCATTCAAATAACCTGCCTTAGAATTTTTTATTTATTTTTTTTTACATTTAATTTAAAAAAAAAAACAACAACAATAATTAGTCTTTTTGGGAGTTTTTCCCCTGTTGATTTTACATTCCGCTATGTAAAAATATATTAAGTAAATTTCTGTTGGGGGAAGAGACTTGGCACCGAAACAACTAATTAATTGATAATTATTCATGTAACAAATACTAAATAAATTCTCTGTTTCATAAAATTATACAGTAAATACTTTAGAGTTTTGGGCTGTTGACTTGACAAGACGGGCAACATGAAGATGTCATTTTGGACTGTGTGAAATTGTGAATTTTTCCCAATTTCCTCACAGTTTGTCTTATATAGTCGCTGTGCTGGAGGATGGTCTGACTGCACGTCATTATCATCTTCAAGCCAGTCACAATCGTTGTGGACTTTGTTAAGCCCAGGATACAGCAACGGTGCCCCTGCAAAATAGTGATTCGAGAAATGTTTTGATTGAACATTTGCATGCAGGGAGGAGAGCACTGTCAATAAAACGGCTAATTTACAGAAAAACTAAGCAGGACTGGATAATTGTATGATTCAGATCTTTGGCAAAACTTTCCATTTCCTCATATAGGCTGCTTCTTGCATCTTGGGGAAGGGGAGGAAAATGAAATCTGAAAAAGAAACAAAGCAAAAAACTAACTTGAACAGTCCAGGATTATTTGAAATCAAGGAATAGGCAGTTAGTGGTTCACTCTGTTTTGAGCATGTTTAGAGTTTAGACACTTACAATTCATGATTTGTAGGCGTCATTAGAGGTGTAGGTAATTTTAGCACCTATAAAAACCGACACATTGCAATTGGAGATTAGTAACAGAAACACGTGTAATAACTCTAGTTTGATGATTTTTGAGGCCACTGTGTAGTTCATACATTTCACATATTGCAATCATGTCTGAGTGATTTGGTACACAGCCTCAGTAGTCTTTACAATTATACATTGCAACTGACCGGTAATGTTCCTCTTGAATGTGTGATCATGGAAACCCGGTCAGTCAGGGTGGTGTGTGGTTCAGCCATATTGTGTCTCTTCTCCCCTGCAGAGCAGTAAGAACTGGAGGGCTGCGGTGGATCTGACGGGCCGGCTGTTGACAGCTCACGGTCAGGGATATGGCAAAGCCAGCCAGCCAACCTCCCACACCACAGACTCACTGCAGGTAGGACGCCAGGGACTTTCTCTTCATCCATCCATTCCTCTGTCTTTCCACCAGTCTGTCCATCTTTTTGTTTCGTGGGTGGGAGAGGGGGCTGAAGCCAGTGCGTGTCTTGTACTACACAATAATGTAATTATTCCTCAATAGCACTTGAAACTGAAAAACATTTTTGTTGAAAATAGACCCAATACTGTGATTGAAGAATAGTGTTATGAAATATCCTCACTGATAATATTTCACACATTATTCAGGACCCTGTTATTTGGTTATCAGAGGAACATTGTATTTTGGGTTAGGTTTTTTTTTTTTTCTTCCCCCAAAATGATGGTATGATCTTTCTGAGAGAGTATTTGATATGTTGAAATTAATTTTAAGGGGGCAGATGTGGGATTAGTCCTCTTCTAGAACACATCGGCAGCACTAATACAGACATCTGTAAGAAAGGACAGTCCAAAGTACTCTTCATTTTTGATTTTATTGTGTGCAGTACCGTCTTTTCATGTGTTTTTCAGTGTTGCTGCTTATTTTCTGTCTGTGTTTGTGGGGCTCTATTCAGAAGATGGATGATGGCATAAGCTCATTAAGAGGGCCACCCCTGTGATCGACTCTGTGCATGAGACTTTAAATTAATTGACCATGTCGTTGCCTCATGCCACTTATCAGTTTGTTTTACGTTATTAAACATTCTGTCACACTTTCCAGAAATCTCGAAAAGAAAAAAATGAAATAAAGCAGAATTTGAAAATATACAGCCCTTCCTCTGCAGCCCCTCCCTCCCCTCTCGGTTTCTAAACCCCCTCTACAGTACAAGCATGCGCTTCAAACACAAAAAGGTAGTCAAGCTAAAAGCCAACATTTATTTGTGGCTTTATACAAGCCTCGCTCTCCCCAGTGAAAGTTCTCCATCTAAATCTAAATCTAACCACATTCTGTTCTCAGTGCTAATTTTGTTGTTATTTATACTATCTCATCTGATGGGGGAGAAGCTCTGTGATTGGCATCAATCTGCCGTTACAGGCTGGATTTTCTAAAGCTGAAAGTCAAGAGGAGGTGCAGGTGAAGTCTACTTTTCTCTCAGACCTTCTGAATCACTATGTGCTCAATTGTTAGTATGGAATTTTTGCCCATTGATGCAAAAAAAAAAATACTTCCTACTTCCGCTGTAATTATTTCTTTTGTCTTTTCCCTTTACTGATCATCTGATACCGTAGCCTCGAGGTTGACAAAAGTATCACATCATCACAAAGCATTGTGAATTAAAACAAAGCTATGTTTTGCAGCTTTGCCCACAGGACACTATATTGAACTTGTTTTTTTTTACCATAAAGTTGCATGATTATGAACATACCATTTGGAGACAGAGTAGATTCACATTTTTGGCCTTGCTGTAAAAATGATCCAAGTACAGCACATGGGAAAGGACACAATGGAAACCTTGAACAATGAAAGCAACGTGGCGGTCCAACATGGTAATGAATCCTTGAAAATGTAATGTTCACATCCTTTCAGTTTGCTAACAGTAAACTAAATCATGTTTTTGTTTTGATGTAGATGGACATCCATTAAAAGGAGAGCATCTTTTCAACAAAACTTGGTAGCTGTGCAGTTCGATCACCTCTCATTGGCTTAAGTAGCATTGTGAAGTCTATACATGTTAAAATAAAATGTGCAAAATTTTCAATCTGAGAATGGTCAGATTTGTACTAAAGCATGAATCAGACGGTTATCACTTGATCATTTAGCATTATCTTGAATCTCCCTGTTCATCCTGAAATCTTCTCCAAGTTCATCTCAAAGGTGTTAATCTGTAGACAGTCCACCTGATGCCACTTGCCTGAACTCCACTAGACTTTGTAATCACCGCTAGCAGTGTAGCTCTCAGCGTTAATGACAGGAAGCGGTGTAGTGGTGGTACACAGTGAAGACAGGGGTCGAGAGAGCGGTGTCTTTAGTCATGTCACATGCTGCTCACGAGATTCTTCCATGACATTGTCTAACAGGGAGGCACGCATCCCCAACTCAGCCAGTTTAGCATGCAGCATGTGACTGGGCTTCTGTCCAAGTGCATATGGCTGTGTACTGTCGAAAGCTCACGAGAATTTACACAACATAGTCCTGGAACGGTGTGTGCCTCCAGATGTGAATTAGCTCGACACTGAATATACAGTCCAGCACTTTCTATACTTCTCTACTTGATGATTATGTCTAAACTACAGCAGCTAAATCCCAGAGAATAAAAACCCTGTTCAATTTTTATGTACATTTTCAGTTTGAGCAATAAAAAACAAAAATTTTAAACAAGAAACATCTACATCAGGGTGGAAAAGCTGGTGTATTAATAAAGCAGTCACTTTAAAGGCATAAATTAAAAGCAAATGAAAACACAAGGGCTGTGTCTAAAACCCATCCCCTTAGCATATTATGCACTATATTTACCATTTGCTCTTTTTTTGTGTCCAAATCGGGAGTGTGACAACGAACGCGCCATGTTGTGCCCCCAAAAATTCCACAATTGACTGTGTCCGTGGCACACTATGTTCTGCTCGTGTGACTGTACAGCTGTCAGTGATGAAGCGAAATAAAGATGATTCGTACATTCTCATTACTGAGTAAACTGCTTAGTATCTGTTACACTGGGAATATTAAATGACTGATTGAGGGAGTGTCCTAGGTACAGACGGGATCTGCATGGAGCAATGAGAATATAATTTTCCTTAAATTAATTTATAAAACAAACATAAATGTTACATTTCCATGATGTTCCCACGAATTTTGCAGTTTGACTGGAACATTTATAATTCTGTCATTATGTTTTATTCTCATCCGGAATGGCTTCCTGGCATCTTACTAGAGAATGAGCTCCCACAGCTGTTTATCTTGATGTACCCAATTTCTTGCATTACAGCAGTGTAGGTGTTTGCGTATGTAAGTACATTAGGGGTCGACGAATTGGCTGATTACTGGATCGAGCATTTCACAGTGATTGGTGTCGGTATATTTTTTAAGGCATCTCCATCTGTAGTCGCCAGTATGCGATCTCAGATAATGTTCCACTCACAGCACTGTCTGATTGGTTCTGCGTCATCAGTAATAGTCTGTCAACACTATAGAATAAATGTTAAGAAGTTCTCTTTTAATTAATAAACAAAGGAGTTCAGAATCAGGTATAGTTCTCACAATATGAGGAATTTGTTCTGGTGGGTTGGTGCAACAAAACAACAATAAATATACAGTAAACAATAAATATGCAGTAAACAATAAATATACAGTACAACAAAGTGGTAGGTGAGTAAATTTGGTCTGAAATCTTGTCTTCTAAAGCCTAATGGTTTATTTCCACTGTGGCTCTACCTCACACGACCAAGCAAACAAAAACAACTATCCACATAATAGAACATGAGGTTGTATCGTAATTAGCACTGTAATGTTACTGCTACATAATAATATAACACCATACATAGAACATGGAGTAATAAAATATGCTTTCCCAGTAACATCCTTTCTACCAGTGACGGATATGAACAGTTTGTGCCCTATTAGGTCAGACTACCTCAAAATCTCTAGTATGATGCAGTCAAATAGGGAGAAGTACAGCTACCACTGACAGTTTTTTACGTGAGCGCAGGCCAACAAACTCTGGTTTTAGCTAGTTTCAAAAAATAGTTTCTACATTGTTGACAACATTTGCATTAATCACACAAACTCTCTATACATACAATCTAGTATATGTATGTTTTATCAGCTAAAACTGTTTTTGTGTTGCCTATATAATAGTAATAATTAGTATTCTACACCAATGTTAAACCTCATTATATTGTGAAATGTTATATAGTAGATTTTAAAAGTGTATTAGTGTATATTTGAATGGTATTTTATTATGTTATTAAGTAGGTTATTTCCATTACAGTTAATGAAGTCAGCTGTTTATGCTTTAACATTTTGAGACTGGTGATATAGTTTGGAAATGACTGTCTTATTGATTTCTACAAGGCAGTAAGAAGACATACAACTGCACACATATATGTGAAGTGTTTACACAACAGGCAGAGGCCAGCAAACCCGTTGAGATAAGACTATTTGCACAGTGTATCTGTTTTTGCTGCTTTTGTACTCAAAATATTTGATAAATGTTTCATACATTTTACAAACAGAGAGGCGTGTGTTTGTGTGTGTTTCAGCTGTGGTTTGTGCGGCTGGCCCTTCTCACCAAGCTGAACCTTTTCCAAAATGCTGAGCTGGAGATTGAACCCTTTGGCAACCTGGATCAACCAGACCTCTACTATGAGTACTACCCAACTGTTTACCCTGGAAGGAGAGGTACATACACCAAACCCACATTTACTTTGTATGAAATCATACAATTTTCTTCTTTGGCCTGTTATTGGCATCTTATGTGGGCGGATCACTGTTAGTATTGATCACAGATCAGAGACTTTATCATAGAAACTCCTGCGTTGTACAATCATGCATCACTTCATATCTCGTTTCATATTTCATATGTCCAAAAGCTGTTCTATGAACTCTCTTGGAGAGCCAACTGAAGGTTGAGTAGCAGTATTCATGACAGTGCTGAAAAGCTGCTTTGAACCCTTATCTGTGAGTTTTGAATGTGTTATTAGCCTGCTCTCCGAAAGGATTTTGCATTTTACCCACGATTTTTAGGATACACAAGCATACCACCACTGTCCTATTAAATATTCAAAGGAAAGTTTCTGCCAGGAGCTTGATATCAGACTGTATCGTCAAGAAGCTCCAACAACTCTACTTGTCTCCAGCAGTTCTTTGGTTTTGTTTTTCCTCTTTTTACACTGCATGAATTGCTCTCTAATGTATTCCCATTACTTTGGATCTGCTTCGCCCCTCGGGCTACCACAGTGAAGGCAGTAGCAGAGACACAGCTGCACACACACAATCACCACACACACCCACACTCTTAAAAAAAAAAACAACACTTGCAGCTACACTGCACAGCCTTCTAAAGAGAGCACCGATTGACTTTCCATTGCTCAATATTAAACGCTTTGTGCCCTACTAGGTGCTCACAGACAAACTGGCATGAGTTGTGTAGCCTGGCATCAGAAGTCGAACATTTCTCTAGTCCAACGCTTGCATCGACTATCTATTACCCATGATCACACTCTTTGAACGCCTTAAGAGACGGCTGCCCCATGTATCGCTCTCCGAAGAATTAGGATTGACTGAGCACTCGAAAAAGAATCAATGTTTGTCTGTTATGAATTAGTTTGCCAAATGAAAAGTTGAGTCCAATTTGAACTCAAACATTAGAACCTGCAGGCATGTAGTGCAAGTCCTGAGGTTATTTAAATGCCTCCAGTTGAATGTAAAGCTCTAAGATACTTGACATGAAATCATAAAGATGTCCTGTTGAGTGTTCATAATTACAAAATGCAGTCTGTGTATGCGTTAGATATAATACAAATTTCTTACTCATAGCACATTTGCGGATTTTTTTGTTTGTTTGTTTTGGAACTTACATTATCCAATTTGCAATCTTCTTCTTCTCCACATTTTGTTGTTGGATTGTTACGTTATGTGATAAATGCTATCATCTATTTAATGAATAGTGTCAGGACCTGGTCAGACTAGAAATTGGCACAAAAAATTTATCCACACGTATTTGCAAAAAAAGGTGGGGCTAGATGTTCGGTGAAATCATGACTAAGACCAAAATCAGGATTTTTGAAATGTATGACCCAAATTTTTGGACACACAAATTTCACAGTTTGATTTTTAATTAATCTGCTAGCAACAAATTTTGTCAGTTTTATTTCTCTGCATTATGGTCTTATGGTCTGTTACTACTGTGTCTTATGATCTCTTCTGCACTGTTTGTGAATCTGCTGTGAAATATTGGTTTTATTTTCTTTAGAGTCGGTTAGCAAAAAACTGCACATTATGATGCATGCTGTGAAAAGCACTGAATCAGCGTGAAACAAACTACATGTATGCTTTTTTAGAACAATACTCACCTTTCCCTTTTACAGATACTCATCCTTCTTGTGGCCATTCACTGTAATACTTCTGTAGCTGGTCGACTAGCTACCCTGGAACATTCTTGCACTGGTCTTTCATATTTCCTCACCAACCTAGCTAGCTTACAGCCAGTTAACTTGCTAACGTTTAAGAAAATAAGTTAACACACTTAATAGTCTGTATTAATATTTATAATATCTACACCTCTTGTGTGACTGGCTACATACTGTGTTTCTTATATAAACCCCAAGTGCTTCAGTAGAGGACAACTGGGCTTCTGGTTTTGTTTGTTTGTTTGTGTTGTTGTTGTTGTTGTTGTTGTGAAGCACTTAGGATTACTTTGACCTGCATGACTGTATTGCCTTGCGCTTTGGGCCGTACGCCCTTGAACTGTGTGCGATTATGGGAGGATGTCAATGAAACTCCCAGACTACAGAAACCATCCCCGTTTCAACCCGAGATCCAGAGAGCACAGACTTGTCCCCAATAGCTCATACTTTGGCTCCAGTGTCAAAGGCCGTAGAGTAGAACAGAAGACGCAGAACAAGACGGGTCCATTTCACTACTGATGCACTTAAGGCAACAATCAAAAAAAAAAGTCCTGCTGCCCTCGACTGGAGCACTCACTATTACTAAGATGGCTGGATGACTGAGAATCTACACAGACATTTCTTTTGTGGAGTAATTTCAGTCTGGCAGACAGAATTTTTATGAAAGTGGATGGTACAAATCGGTTAAACGATAGCTTGCTCTGTTTTGGACACTCTGTCTACTCCTCGATGTAAGAACTGTCTTGCTGGTGTCGTTTCGGTCAGTGATGCTAATTAGCATATCAAAGTGCACCTAAGTCAAACTTTGAATGCAAAAAAAATCCATCTGGCTTTACCTTTACTTCTGCAAGCAAATCCACTGATCAGGGTGATTCCAGTTGCTTCAGCTCCACGTAGATACTGGTTTAACTGGACCCTGAAACTGTTCGAATAATATGGGCACCCACTCATCAACCATAATGCCACGAATAGTCAAAAGCTCTCCAGGGTGCAGTTAAATGTAGTTTGTTTCCAGCTTGTGTTTCCTCACAGTTACAAAGTTGCTCTAAAATTCATGCTAACAGAATTCTAACAGACAAGTGTTAATGAATTGTATTAATTTTAATCTGATGAAAATGACTGACAGCCTGAAGAGACAGAATAATAAATCAGGTCAAACCAGCATGGTCAACAAGCCCATACAGTCACACGGGACAGTCATAACCGACACTCAGATTTATGGGGGAAAGGAGAGGGTGTTGTGTAATGCTGATGGGTAAGATAGAAAGCACAAGCAGATAGACAAAAAAGATAGAAATTGAGATACATAGACTGGCAGAGGCAGCAGCCAACGATGGACCAGCTAGCTGAGCCTCAGATCTGATGACAATATCAAAGGGACCCTGATCAAAGCCCGGGGACTCACCTGAATATAGGCACTTCCTCAGGGATGTGTGTGCCTGAGTGTGTGTGTGTGTGTGAGAGAGACAGTGTGAATGATGTCGAGGCAGAGAGAGACAGAGGGATGAGGCAGAGAGATGAGTGATGGAACTGTGCAGCACACAGAGAGAGAGAGATGAGAGGGTTTAATAAGCAGCCATACGTAGCTCAATGCCATCTGTAGGTTCCTGCCTCCAGGGCTGTGTGCAGTCTGTGTGTGGGTGGATGGGTTTATATTCTCATCTCGCGCTCTGTGTCTTTCTGTCTCTCTCTCTGCCTTTTCCTCTCTTTTTTTTCTCTCTCTCTTTCCTGCTATGTCCTCATCCCACCCTGTTTCTTATTTTCCCCTTCCCCTCACACACTTTTCCCTCCGTCTCCTGTTTTCTTCTTGTCTTCCCTCCTTCCTTCCTCCCTCTTGTCCAGGCTCCATGGTACCGTTCTCCATGCGGCTGCTGCATGCCGAGCTTCCCCAGTACCTGGCCAAACCCCAGGAGGCTCTGGACCGCCTGCACAATCTCAAAACCGTCTGCCTTGCTGTTAGTACACACATACACACACCCAAACACAGCCTCTGGATGAACATAAAGATATGCATACTCTGTAGTATTCACACAATAAAACTACACACCCACAGAAAAGCACATTAGCCATACAAATCCTTAAGCCCACCTGTGTAAACATCCAAATATGGCTGGATTTTAGAGTTATTGAATATGCAGATTTTAATACACACACAAAAAGCCTTCAGTGCTGGCAGAGAACCAACTTACCCCACTGAAGTTGAAATGTTCCCCCTCCTTAACAGATTCTGGAGAACTTGGAGAAGGGTTTGGCTGAGGATGGCAGCATGATCACCTTAACACAGGAGAACAGGCAAGGTAAGGGCACACACACATGCACACACACATCACATATACACACAGGCCCACGCAAACAGACTTTTGGCTACAGACCTGGCCGCAGTCCCAGACTGCATCACACTGTGGGAGGAGAGTGAGGTCATGGGCCCCAGTGGGTAACACACACACACACAAGCACTGAGGCAGAGGCACACCTGGTGCAGGACTGCAGCACACCTCGGCCACACATACACACACTCAACCACACAAACGCACCAATGCGGTGCTCTAAAAGTGTTTAGCACCTCACTGCTTTGGTACTCGCACTGAATATCAAATGGTCTCTCCAGCCCTTCACGCCAAGCAGATCAATACTGATCAATCCTATCCAATCCACTCCCATCTGCTGAAGTGTGCCAGGGAAATAAGCAGGCACCTCCATCTGAAATGTTTAGGAAGTCTTGTGTTTGTAAGTCTTACGACTTTTTCCAACTTTTCCAACATCTGTTTATCAGTTTACAAAAATGAACAATAACAAGCTACTTAGGGAAGTTGAGCTGAAAGTACCAAGACGTGTGCTTATGATTGGGAAAATTGGCAGGGTGACGCATGTACTAATGTATGTGTGAGGGTGCGCTGATTCTGCCAGTTTCTCCCCTTCTAAAAGCAGTGTAATAGCTGTGTCCTCTGTCTCTCCTCTCTCTACCCACGCAGACAGTCGACAGTCAAGTCAATAACACAGGGCCTTGCCTTCACACATCAGACCCCTACTGAGTGATTAGCTCCACTCCCCAGCGCACACACAGACACACGTGTGCAGCGATGAATAGTAATAGGCAGTGCACACAGGCTCTTCCACAAGGTGCACTGTCTGAGAGAAAAAGGAAAGCGGAGTGTGCCGCAGTGTCTTCCTCACTACCTCGCCTTAAAATAAACCCTGGTGTAGAGGGGGAGGAGGGGAAGGGGAGATTGGAGGGGGGGGTAATGAGAGGGATGGAGGGATAAGAGCGAAGGGTGGAAGCATGGGGAAAAGGACGATGTTACCAAAAAAAAAATCATGTGGAATGAAAATAAGAAGTCACTCAAAGAAATGAATCCCCTTGTCCCTGACTGTCTTCTGCTTCTCTTCCTGATTGTAGCATCTCTGAAGCTATGGAGGTCTCGTCTCAGCCGGGTCATGTACTCCATGGCCAACTGCCTGCTGCTGATGAAGGTAGGTGTGTGTATTTGTCAGCCTGCGTTTGTGTGTCACTGTGTGTTGGAGTGAATGTGTCCCTGTAAGCGTGTCTGAGTCTGCCTGGAAATATGTGTGTGTGTGTGTGTGTGTGTGTGTGTGTAGGTTTGTGTGTGTGTAGGTGTGTGGTGAGTGTGTGTGTGTGTGTATATATGTGTGTGTGTGAGAAGTGTGTGTGAGTCTCGGAGATCTCTGATGCCAGGCTGGTGGAGGATTCACAGTGAAATCCCCCCAGACTGACCACTAATTGGATTCTTGGTCAGTGAGAGAGAGCGAGTGAATGTGAGAGAGCGAGCAAGGGAGAGAGGATGGGGTGTGGGTTCTGATCGGGCTGGATATAGAAACACAGTGCCACCTACTGGTCAGAGTGGAGATTACACCATGTTGTAATTGCTTCTGGTCAATTTCAGGTTCAGTAAAAATGTCACATTTAATAAAAAATAATAATCTTTATTTGTGTGACACCTGGGCTGCAAGGTGGCTCGGTGGTTAGCACTGTTGCCTCGCAGCAAGAAGGTCGCCGGATCTTTTTGCGTGGAGTTTTCATGTTCTCCCTGTGGAGCGTGGGTTCTCTCCAGGTTCTCCGGCTTCCTCCCACACAGTCCAAAAGCATGTTGAGGTTATTTGGTGATTCTAAATTGTCCAAAGGTGTGAATGTGAGTGTGCTTGGTTGTCTGTCTCTAAGTGTAGCCCTGTGATAGACTGGTGACCTGTCCAGGGTGTCTCCTGTCTTCGCCCTGAGTCAGCTGGGATAGACTCCAGCCCCCCCGCGAACCTAGTGAGGATTAAGCGGTGTATAGATAATGGATGGATGGATGACACCTTTCATCACAAGACTTAACAAGTTGCTACACAACTGTTTAAAAGTCCATACAGTGATTTTTAATGCTGCATCCCTTTTACTATAAATTAAAGTGCCTAGATACACATGCAGTATTTGTTAGCAGGATAAATTAATTGCCAGGTAGGTATTTTCATGGGATTAATTTAGAACAATATATCACCAGACATACCCTTTAAGAAGCTAAAACAAAAAAATCTGAGTTACAGCTCCTTCGTGACTGCCTTAAATGAAGCACATAGTTTGCAGTGAATACAGAACAGATGAAGTAAACTGAAGATCTACCACAACCATAGTTTCTTTTGTTTGTATGAGTGTAGGGTTTAGGGTAGTGTCAAGTGAGACTCCAGAATACATTATCCATATTCACAGAAATACAGTATAGTCAGTAGTAAATGTAATCTTGTTGCATTTCACTGTTTGTTAGTTGTTTTCATCATGTGCATCATGGTGAATTTTTTTTTGTCTTTTTTTTTTGTGATACACACATACATAGACATGTACGTGAACACTTTGTATAAACTCTTTCCAGCCCACTACACACTACCTCTACGCACACACACCTCTCTGACCTCTCTCTGTCGCCCCGCTCAGCATTCCAGTCACCATGTGAGCGATGTGTAGCAGCACAGTGTGGAGGTGGGAGGAGGGTCACATCGCCCCGCTAATACTCCATATGTTTGATTAATGCTCTCTCTCTCTCTCTCCGAGCCTAAATTCTGCTCTTTTTTACCCCGCTCGCCCTCCACCTGTCTCTTCCTCCCACTGTTTACCTCACTTTACCTCACTCGCTTCTAACTTCTCTTCTCGTCTACCGCGCTCCATCCTTTACTCTTTATTTACCTCTTTTTCTCTTTAATCACTGTTTCTCCCTCTCTGTCTTTGTCCTCAGGACTATGTTCTGGCAGTGGAGACCTATCACTCCATCATCCAGTATGAACCCCAGCAGTGCGTGCAGCTGCTCAGTGGTATAGGACGCATCTTCTTGCAGGTTTGCACATCAACAGATAGATGGATCCATAGATTATGAGACACTGGTTCCTGGGGCACAGACAGCGTTAATTAGCCTCGTGTAGCATCATGAATAACTGGGAAATGGTGGCGGCGACGAGTTTAAAAATTCATGAATAATTACTTTCTCTCTCGCTTTTTTAATCTGTATACAAACGACAATATAAATATAGTGTATCATAATTTGTGGTTTTTAGGTGACACCAGCACCAACAGCAAGAAGTCACTGCTGTTGTTACTGCACATATCCTCCATACTCAGGCTAGATGTTTCCTTCTACTTGCAGTCATTATGCTAAGCTAGGATATTTGCATCCTGACTCCAAGTCCTTGCTTAACACACACACATGAGATTTATATAGATTTTGTCATTTAATTCTCAAAAAACTAAACAATCTTTAAATAATAACCAAGAAATAGTAATCATTTTTCCAAAATATTGAAGTACTCATGGAATAGGTACTAAAAATACGATTGAAACATTCCTACATTTTCTTGGCACACATGACCACAATGCTAAATGCTTTTTTTTGTCATGTATGTTGACTATGTCTCTGACAGATTAGCAAGGCCTTGTGCTGTGCTTTTCAATCTGTCAGCAAAGCCATTGCATCATAGGAGGAACTGCTCATTCCAGGTGTATTTACACCAATTTGAATTCTCATTTCAAAGTTTTTCTTTGAATAATATGCTCAATGGTTGTTAATATGGACACATTCCTGGATAATTCAACGTTACAATAAGTTTATGAGGCCATCATTTTTGAATGTCTTCTACTTTCTGAGAAACCATGGTTTTTTCTTTGTTAGTTTGGTATGTTAATGACTACAAATAATACTCCTGAGGCTCATCCACTGTTAAGAGAAAAAGACACTGAATTTGGAACACTTTGTTCTTGCAGTTGGAAACAAACTGACTAAAAGCTTCAGTGATTGGATATTTTTCTTTAGTGAAATACACCTTGAGAGAGTCACAGTTCACTTCTCTCATTGCATTTTTCTCTACACAGACTCAGTACTTAATTTTATGAAAGACGCAGATATTCTCTACTGCAGTTTTGTACTGATGCTTCCGCTAAAAGAGCTTTACATCTATCAAAGACTAATGGAGCTTCAACTGTCATCTTGGGATGGGACCTTACCTTTAATAACCCAGATTCCTTAAAACTACCTCTATCTATATATTAACTCACTGTGTCAATATTTCTTGTGTTATCATCTTGTACAATCAACAGTGTAATTGTTGGCGTCATCCTTACTTTACTACTACATAAAATCTGACGTAATTTATTTTTTTTGCACTTTTTTTTTTTTTTTTTTTTTACAATAAACACACACCTTAATATAGAAGCTGATATCAGTTATTAATGTGTTGTGGCTGCCTTTGTTCTTTGCCAGATCGGAGATGTTAAAACGGCAGAGAGGTACTTTCAGGATGTGGAGAAAGCCTGCCAGATGAAAGGGAGCCAGCTCAGTCACACCACATGCGTGCTAATGAACAGGTACGTGTATGTTGTGCATTTAGCGCCTCTGTATGCTGTTCAGGATAATTCTTGCTTTGTGGACACTGTGCTTCCTTCAGGGCTTTTCGCAAGTTCATGCTTCCTCCTGGCTTGAGATTTAACACAGGAGGTCACACCTCTGTGGCTGTGGCCTGAGGTAATGTGGAGTATAAGGTAATGTTCAGGTGACAGCCTGTCTTGCTTATACTCAGCGTAATGAAGCTCACATGGAAAGGCAGGTGCTTGGTATCTTAATGCAGTCAATTACCTATAAATAGCATTTAGTTGTTCTTATTTTTGCTATTTTGTGCAAAATTCTACAAATGGAAACCAATGAATGATATGAGTTGTATGTATGAGGCCAATCACCAGAAGGATTGCTCTAGAACGAAAGCAAAGTGTTATACCTAATAAAAGTAACCTCACATTTATTCCACTTTGCATCTTAAATATTACATTTCATCTAGCTTCAGGAGATTTACAAATAAACCTTCAGCTGTTCAGTAGTTTGAAATGCACATACAGTATTTCAACAAGGACGTCAATGTTGATGTCATCACTGATTGTTCACCCAAATTCTTGATTGTTTAATGATTGGTGTTCATTATCT